CCGCTACTCCCACACACTGTGAATGCACCAAACATGGCTAAATCTCCTCGAGCTGCCAGCTTCTCAAAAGAGTGGAGGCGGAATTTGGAGATAGTGTGGAGCTATCTTGTCAAAGCCCAAAAGCGGATGAAGAGGCATGCTGATCAGAATCGTCGCTTTGTTGAATATCAAGTAGGAGACTAAAGTGATGGTCAAAATTTCCAAAGCGGTACTTATTTGCAGGGGTCCATGACCCTCGCCTATTGCAAAAATACATTGGACCCTTGTCCATTGAAAAGCGTATTGGGAAGGTTGCATACCGGGTGGATACCCCAGCTTGGTGGAAAATTCATCCTGTCTTCCATGTCAGTCTCCTGAAACCTTTTTGGGAAGACACGGAGGATCCTTCAAGGAGCCAGCTCACAATACCCAGTATTCGAGGTCCCAATTCAACCGGGAAAAGGCGTGTTGAAGCTATCCTTGATGACAGAGTGATTCATGCCTCAAGGAAAGATCACCAAGAGTTTTTGGTGAAATGGCAGGGCTGTGATGCAGAAGAGAATACTTGGGAGAGGGGAACAAACCTCAAAGCCTACAAGAGCCTCATTGAAGATTATTTTGCAAGTAAGGCGCCGAGGACGTCGCCAACTCAGGTGGGGGAGAATGTCATGGGCGGCTTTCCAGCCATGCCCCATGACCCCTTGGGCGCGCCCCGTGGCGTCCTAGCGAACCTCCCAATGCCTAGCGCCACGGACGGCCCCGTGGTCTTGGCCGCGCCAAGTGACAAGCGCGCAGGTGCCTCTGTCGCCCCACCGATATCCCTCGCGAGCGCCAAGTCGCAGGCAGAAGCCAACAGCGCCGCGCGCGCAGACAACGCCGCGCGCGCAGACCGTGATGCCAAAGACACTGCTGCTGACAACGGACCTGCTGCTGCCTTATAGAAAACTAAGTCATTTTCATTGTAAATATAGAGTAGTTTTATTTCATGTACTTCCATTATGTTTCTCTAGCTTAGTCAAGTCTAGTCTTGTAACTTTGGATTATTTTTTTTAAGTACTATTAGGGGGGATCAAGCAATCAACACTTTCTAGCAAGCAAGCAATTCTCTGTACTGGTGTCTCTCCCCCTCGACACCGCGTTGCTTTTCTGTAATAGCTTTCATTAATGCAATCAAGCTTTCTTTCATTCTGAATTCTCATTTCTGTTCTCTCAATTGCTCTTGACATTGGTTTTCCCGTACGGCACTGACAATCTCGTCTAGCGTACGGAGGGGACCTCAGTTGGCGGACAGCAACTGCACTGACATCAGTTGCCTAGCCTTACGTCGCCCTTCCAAGGAATCTCAGGAAGGCGCCGCGTAACAGGACTTTCGAGAAAAATATACTTGAAAGCACTTTTTAAAATATTGGCTAAATATTAATTACTTTTTAAAAATATTTTTAAATTAATTAGTAAAATACAAACTAATTTTAGAAGCTTGGCCAAACAAGCTATTAACCTCTTGCTTTCACATTGCTTCATGGCTTTAAACAATGAAGCAATAGCTTTTAATAACACTGCTTATTTCATTGACCTTTTGGCCATACTCTTCGCTGCTATGCTACAGAGGTCATCTGGTTGGGGAAGAAGTTGAGATTATAATGACAGCGATTGAATAATTACAGAATTATTTAATGGATATACTTTTATGGGTAAATATTTAGTTTATTAAACTAAACATAGGATATACCGATATAATATAAAACATGTATTTGATTTACACTAGATAAATTGGGATATATTTTAATTACTAATTTTAACCTTGAATTTTTTAAAAGACTTCGAAAGAAAAGCCTTGGAGGACACTTTTGTCCTATTAGTGTTTTATCCCAAGATTAGTAAAATAATCCTGCACTTTATCTCGGGAATGTTATCCCTTATCCCACCAACCAGACGACCCTTAAAAAGACCAACAGAGATCGTGGAACTTGATGTGAAAAGCATGAACCTAAGCACACGCTTCATTGAAGTGAAATGCACAATTTACAGAAAATTAAATTATGTCAAACATATATGAATTTAGTAAAACAATAATCAATAAATTGTAAGTAAATAACTAATTTCAGCATCTAATGCCTAATATATAATAATGTCAATACTAATCCAACTCCTCACAGTTGAGATTCAAAGTACTAATAGCTTGTTCGGATTACTTTGTGCCTCATGTTTGAAGCAGCGCACACTTCCCTAAAGCGCATAGCTTCACCATGAAGCAATAATCGTGTCGCATCTCCTTAAGCGATGAAGTAATGACTTCTAATAAAGCAGCACATTGTGTTGCAAGCCAAATGTTCAGGTTCCTCGCCTATGATCAGGAAGCAGGGAAAGAAATTATAAGCTCTATGATGTGCAGCAAACTCTATTATGAGAAGATGCACAAAGTTGAACCTGGACATGTTCTTCCGCTTCACAACTTGTCCACTTAATTCAGCCAAACCAGGTCAGTTTAAGGCTGTCTAAAACCATGGGTTAGTTGAGAAGTCCAAAAATGCAGCAGTGAAAAAGTAATGAAACCTTTCTGCTTGTGTACATTCATCAAATAATTATATATACGTATGACATATTACCTCCCACTGACCTACTTCAACAGGTATATAGTGACAAGATAGCTTGTATTTAGTGGGATAGTTAATGTCAAAATGGCAGCTCCTCCACATATCAGCTTAGCCAATTGCCAGCCTCCCAATCAGATAATGCATTTGGGAGAAGAGAATTGCGTCCGATAACATTTCTAACAGTTACCGTTACAAGGCTGAAAATACTATTTCTGAACTTAAAATCCAAAAGCACAACAAAATTTCATTTAGAACAAAATCAAATGTCCTTTATGAAACTTTTTTTTATTTATTAAACAGTCACCATTTATCATTGATATGCAAAAAGATACAAATTGAGTTTGGCATCCCAAACTTTATGCATGATCATTGAGGTGTGACTTCTAATCTATATCCTAACTAAAGGATAGCAAAAACAAAGTTAGTTCAAAGGAGGATCATAATAGATGATGTTAGAAGGTTTTGTGTGCTTTATTCTAAAGTAGGTTACCATTTGTCCATTATTGATCGAATTAAGATCACATATCACCCCTTAAGAATTTTGCATCATTTTCATCCTGAAAGACAAAAAGGAATAGAGGAAAACAATCACTGCATCCTCACAGCAGGGGCTTCCACTACAATATACTCATTCTGTATTAGAATAAAGGCAATCAAGAAAAGGACCATTAAAAGAAGTAAAACCAGCATAAGGGGTATCAAAAGCAAAATTCCATTAATTTGTTAGAAAGACATATTTACATCTACAACTATGATGAAATCAAAGAAATAAACTTCAGCTACTATTCCTGAAACCTAATGAAAAACTAGTGCTGAAGCAGAGCAAGAACAAAAAAAAAAGTTTATTCTTCCTTTGATCTTTTACAGATATAAGAACTGATTATACCTCCAAATGCAAATCATAAAATTTGGAAGCCTTCACCTTCAAACTTCCACAAAAACCAAGGACATTCGAAGGACAAACCATCTTTGAAGAATTTCTTCTAACCCTGCGAGGAAAATCAGACTGTCACATACACGCAGAAAACTATGGGAGTAAAGAACATCGAATCTTATCAAGAGTTAAGTTTTGTGCACAATCAGGTCAGTTAAAAGCTAATCGTAACCTAAATAAATGGTAAGTAACGTGTTATAACAGGTTACATTGCATTGATAGTGTAAACTTAAATCCATCAAACAGTAAATTATACCTTTGGAAGATTTTCACAAACTTTATATGAATCAGGAGTTATTGAAGCAAGCCATAAACCAGGGAAGAGTGTCTGCAAAAGAAATTCAAATTATCAGATAACTAGAAATCATAAGAGCAAAATAGAAAGGAAAAAAAAAAAGTGACAATAAGTGATAAATACTTACATCAAGTTGTTTCTGAACAGCTTTAACTCTCTTCTTAGGTCTTCTAGCAGCTTTTAATCCAGTCATAGCATATATATCTTCATCGATCTCTTCTCTGGATAAGGCCATGGAAAACCTTTGTCTTTTTTCCTTCTTCTGAGCAGAAGCAGCATGGGTTTCATTATTTTCCGGCTTGTTCATGTTCATAATCTGATGAGGTGATTGAGATTTGATCTCCTGCATCGCGGATCCACTGGATCGAAATGGAACTCCTCCGTTTATATTCAGTGATTTATGTATTGGTTTTCGAGGTCTCAGATTCCACGTTTTTTGTGCTGTTTCTTCAGCTGCTGCAGCTTCGTCGTGTGATTCGTCTGCCTCCTTTTGATTTTGATCCTCGCTAATTTGAATTTCTTCAGATTTGTTTTTGCGAGGGATTTTGATTAAGATTTTGGATCTGCTTTCTTTGCTACTGACAGCATTAATCTCTGTTACCTTATGCTTTGATTGTTGAACCGACGGAACGGGATCACGCATCGGAGACTGACGCGCCGTAGCAGAATCGTGCATCGGAGACCGGCGAAACCCCGCTATAGGTTCATGCATCGGAGACCGGCGAGCAGCCGCAGCAGAATCGCGCATCGGAGAGTGACGCGCCGCCGCAGCCGAATTGTGCATCGGCGATTGACGCGCCGTCGCAGCAGATTCACTTATTGGAGACTGACGTGCCGCCGCGAGGGATTCACGCATGGGGGACTGGGACTGAGAGTGTCTTAGCGGCGAATCGTGCCGTGACGGAGAGGAAGAGTCCGACGACAGCTTGTTGGAGCGGCGGCGTTGGTGATTGTTCGAATGATGATTCTTCTTCCATTTCAAGTGGGAAAAATCGAAGTTATGAAGTGGATTATTCGACTTCGCCGGTACTGTAGAAGCCATAGTAATAATTCTTTTCTCAGATTTAACAAACAAATAATACCCAAATCAATATTTTCTTCAATTTCTCTCAAAGAGTAACAACAAACAGCCGATCGGATAATTTGAAGGAACTATATCAAGGCAATTGACTCTTAAGAAACCAAGAAATCCTCATTGTGAAATCTAATGAGTAATTACATGGATGGAAATATATATAAATGTGAATTAAATTTTAATGGATAAATAAAAAAAGGAGTGAATTTCGTGTGAAGAGAAAAATGGAATAAGGGGGAAGAGGAAACTTTGAAAGGAGATGAAAGGAACCCTAGAGAGGCGATGGCTTGAAGGAAAGGGAGAAGTGAAAGAGGATTAGCAGTAGTGTATAGAGGAAGACAGTTGATTAGAGAGTAAAATAACAACCCCTTTGAGTAGTCAGCCTGAATCCTGAGATTAGACGCAGATGGGAGTTTCTCTTCTGTATTCCCCATTCTACCCCCCTTAACTTCTTTTTATTAATTCAAATTCGTATTCGTAAAAAGAGGTAACATGTTTGAATTTCTTTCATTAGTAGGGCTCTATCTACAAAGTAATTATACGTTCAAATCTCTCTGTAACAGCCTCGTTTGTTCCGAATATTTTTTGCTTGTTATAGCGAAATATTGTTATAGAGAAAATATATTATAATATAACATGAAAATTGGTTCCGAAAAAGCTTAATTTTTATAGTAAAGTGTTGTTATACATTATATACGGTCAAAATCGAGGAGTGTGATTTTAAAGGCTTAAATCGGGCTATAGGCCCGAGTCCGAGAGACTCAAAGTGGGTGTCGTATCCGGTTAAGGAACACCTACCTCGGGGAAGTTGATCGAGTGTCTGGCACGGACTGCATCGAGGGCAGCATTGTGTCGAAGTCAATCAAGAAAGAGCGGGAATTTCTCAAGGACACATGAACCTGGGCATTAATTATAGGATAAGGGTTGTACGAAATGGTACAAATCCGTACTAGGCCGTTATACACCTGTAACAATAGAATTCTTTACCTTTATGAGTAAGGTACTATATTGGGATTTTCTCCTCCTATATAAAGGGGACCCCAATCACTTTGTAAGGGCATCAGATCATTCACTGCAATAGAACATTCTTATTCTTCTCTTGTTTAACGTGCTCAGCAATTACTTTTCAGCTTTATTGTCTTTACTTTATTGTTCATACTTTATTATTCTTAGCTGATCTCGAGGTCCCTGGATAATCGAACTCGAGGCCCCCTACAGTTCCAACAACATCAATTTGGTTCTTTATTTCTTCTTACTTAACCTGAATATTACTCATATAATCACTAGTATTAGAATATATAATATATCACGTATCTTTAAAACCACAAATCAATTTTAATTGTTACTTGCGTTTTTCGAGGTAAATAGTTTGGCGCCCACCGTGGGGCTAAAGATAATAGTGATTATTTTAGTGCTAGTTTTCTGATAACGCACGTTATTCTTCACACTTTTTCTTGCCAAAGATTCTTTGATTTCAGGCTTAATCATGTCTAGAACTCAAAACGCACCCGCTCACGACAGTGAAGGACTTGGAGAAAACAACGGCATAGGGCTCGGTGTACCATCCGTAAACCCTAAAGGAGTGCCAAACGTGGAGCCAGTTGACATTAGCTCCCACAACGCACTAAACACGGACGCAGGCACAGAACCCGCAAGGAACGCACACAGGGAAACCCGAGCCGGAGGCCAGGAAGCACGAGGACTGGAAGAAGGAAGAGTCAGCCTCCAAGTGATATTCGAGATGCTGCAAGCTCAGCAAGGTGCCATCGCTCAACTTCAGAGCCAGAACAGAAATCCTAACACCGCCGAGCCAGTAAACACGTAGTATGGACCAGTGTTGGAAAGGCCCAATGAAAGTGGCTCGGGGACTGACCCCACAATCATGAAAATGCTCGAGGAACTAACTAAGAGAATCGAGTCAGGAGAAAAGAAGATAGAAGACAACAATATGAAGGTGGAAACTTACAACTCCCGAGTAGACCAGATACCGGGAGCACCTCCGGTTTTGAAGGGTTTAGATGCCAAAAAATTCATACAAAAACCTTTCCCCCCAAGTGCGACTCCGATGCCTATTCCCAAGAAGTTCTGCATGCCAGATATACCAAAGTACAACGGGACAGCTGACCCCAATGAACATATTACTTCTTACACTTGTGGAATTAAAGGAAATGACTTAAATGATGACGAAATCGAGTTTGTATTGTTAAAAAAGTTTGGGGAAGCACTATCAAAAGGAGCTATGATCTGGTATCACAACTTAGCTCCTAACTCCATTAATTCGTTTGCTATGTTGGCGGATGCCTTCGTGAAAACACATGTCGGGACCATAAAGGTGGCAATGAGAAAATTGGACGTATTCAAGATAAAACAAAGGAACGACGAAATGCTAAGGGAGTTCGTGTTCCAGTTTCAAATGGAAAGGATGAAATTACCCCCGGTCTCCGATGACTGGGCAGTTCAGGCCTTCATGCGAGGTTTGAATGAAAGAGCTCGATTGCATCTCGACAGCTAAAACAGAACTTGATTGAGTACCCAGCTGTGAGATGATCGGATGTGCACAATTGTTATCAGTCAAAAATCAGGGTCGAGGATGACCAGTTGGGAGCTCCCTCGGGCTCAGTTCACCTAAACAGGTTCGCAGCCAAGCCCCCGAGGGACACAGACCGGGGATCAAGATCTAACAAAGAAAGATATCAACCGCACATCGAAGATAGAAGAAACATGTCAAGGCATAATGCACCTCGGAATGATCGAAGAGTAGATCGAGGCCAAAGCTCCCGGGGATTCATAAACAAAATCAGGTCTGGAGGCTCCCAAATTATCAGAATACAACTTCAGTGTCGACGCCTCAAGTATCGTCTCAGCCATTGGCAAGATTAAAGATACTAGATGGCCCAAGCCCATACAGACAGATCCTTCCCAAAGAAACCCCAACGTAATGTGTAAGTACCATGGTACTCATGGGCATAAGACCGAGGATTGCAGATAACTTAGAGAGGAGGTAGCCCGACTATTCAACGAGGGGCACCTTCATGAATTTCTCAGTGACCGGGCCAAAAACCATTTCCGAGAAAGAGATGCAAACAGGAAGAATGAACCCGAAGAACCTCAGCACGTCATTCACATGATCATTGGTGGAGCAGACGTCCCACAGGGACCTACATTCAAGCGTACTAAAATATCCATCACAAAGGAACAACGGAGTCGAAGCTATACGCCAGAGGACGCTCTATCATTCTGCGACAAAGAAGCAAAAGACGTTGTAGACATTTAAATTTTATCGAATTTAAATCGATAAAATAACGTGGACTATATTTTAATATATTAGTCCAAATAAATATATGGGCTAATATAATTGAATTAATTATATAAGTCCAATATCTATGGATTAAATAAATAAGTCTTAATCCATTGGGCTAGCCCATTTAATTGGGCTAAAGTGATGAACCCACTTCATTAAGCCCAAGATGTCATCTTCCTAGAGGCCCAGTTTGGTGCCACGTGTCTAATGACATGGCGCGCCAAGTCAAGTGATGAGCCAATAGGACCATGCCACGTGTCAAAATGACAAGGCATGTCCAGTCACACTGAAAGGCCAATGAAATCGCGCCATGTGTGCAAGTGACATGTTCTGGCCAATCAAATGCGCCTATGTCACACTTCAATTTGATTGGTCGGAAAGAGTTTGTTCTTATCATGACTCCTCCCTTCCACAACTATAAATAGGGGTCTTCATAACTCAGAAAAGACACCAGAAGCTATAACAAGAAGCAAGAGAGAGCTCGTGGATCAAACACCGCAAATTTCTCTACAAATTTCAAGCTTCAAGCAATCAAGTTCAAGTTCAAGAAATCAAGTTCAAGCTCAAGAACAAAGAACAAATCAAGGTCAAGTTCAAGCACTCAAGCTCAAGCTCAAGAACAAGATCATCGTTCATGGCAACAAACATAGATTCAAGATCAAACTAAAAGGCCCTTGAATTTATTTGCTATTGAAAAGAAGAATCAGAGGATTCATAGAGATTGTAACACTCAAATATTCGAAATCAAATACTACGATTGTTGCGATATTTTTTCGGTCTTGATTTTATTTTCTCGACGCAAATTTATTGTCTACAAATTCTAGCACGCCCAGTGGGACAATCTGTACCTCTCATCTCAACTTTTCAATCGCCAAAGTCCAAGAACATTGAATGGCTTCAAAGAAAATCAACTACGGTTCAACTTCCACCAAGGCTACTAACTCCAGGTTCTATGCTGATGTGGAAAGCATCCCCGATGTTACCTTTGGAAGCTTCGGACCAGTTACGAGGAGCAAAGTGAGCTCTTTAGGACAACAAGCACCCCAAGTGCCATCTGCATCAACCCCTATTTTCGGATCTTCATCCTCAAAAGGAGCAAGATCTTCTACAAATGAACCTGAAGGAGGAAGCGATGTTGCTGAAAAGATCAAGAAAACTCTTGCTCTGCTTGACCTCTCCGGATCCAAGCACTCTACTGTGAAGGAAGATGATGATGCTTCAAGTGATGGATCCTCCCCACTTACACCACATAGCGTGAGCCAATCAAGGATCAATCTGTGTGAAATCCATGCACTCTCCATCGTCCACAACAATCATGCAAGCCATGGTGACAAACACTTCATCTGTGGAGGAGCAATTAGCAAACTTGACGGAAGCAATCGCTGGCTTGACCAAATGCATGCAAAATCAAGAGGCTATAATTGACAAGTTAACAGACAGGGTGGGAATCTTGATGGAAGAAGAATCCATCCATGCACCCGGCAAGCTCCCAGAAGTCATAGAGAGTGACTCTCCCCCAAGACAAGTAGCATCCACTAAGGCTATCCCTGTCTCATCTGAAGGGATGATTCCAATCGGTCAACTGAAGGAGTTCATTGAAGGAACCATTAAGGACAAATATGAAGTTGCTGCCAAATCCTCCCTTACATATGCAAAGCCGTACACTGCAAGGGTCAATATGTTGTGGATGCCTGCTGGCTATCAACCTCCGAAGTTTCAACACTTTGATGGTAAAGGTAACCAAAGCAATATGTGGCGCACTTCGTGGAGACGTGCAACAATGCTGGGACTTATGGAGATTACCTAATCAAGAAGTTTGTCCGCTCACTAAAAGGAAATGCTTTTGACTGGTACACAGACCTCGAGGCTGGATCTATCGATAGCTGGGATCAACTAGAGCAAGAGTTCCTCAATCGCTTTTATAGTACGAGACGTACTGTGAGTATGATAGAACTTACAAATACTCGTCAACGAAAGGGGGAACCAGTTATCAACTTTATCAATCGTTGGAGGAATGCAAGCCTCAACTGCAAAGACAGAATTAGTGAAGCTTCAGGCATAGAGATGTGCATCCAAGGCATGCATTG